TTCCTAAGGAAGGGTTGACTAGACTATCAATTCTTCATAAAAGATGTCATCCAAGAGCTGTAAAGCCTGAGAAGTAGTTAGGCTCATTACATAATGTCAAGGTATTAGGAGACACCCTGTTTTCCAGGGCTAAGGCTCAGCTAGCAAGCTGTATCCTGAACTTGGCGTAATAACAATCCTTTGCGCTCACCCTCTGGATGATCTCAGCCACGGCAAAATCCCAGACTTGTTTCATAGGATTACTGTATTGCTTTGAACAACACCAGGCTTTCTCTGAGTTTAGCCAATCATCTCCTGTATCCGTGTTCTGGTCATGAAGCCCTGCTATGAGTCAAACTTGTCACACTGTTGCTGTTTCCCCTCATTGTCAGGATCAGGGCTCACTGAGCAGCCATTCATATAAGTATTAAGATTTGAGACTCACACTAAAGGAGGTCCTCCCTGGTGGTGGCAGGGCCCTGCCACATGTATCCTTGCTTGTAAGCCATTGACCTCACTTCGAAATTAAACTTATGTTTAATTCCTGAGTCTCCTGTCTCTGGCCTGCTCTGTTGGTCTCCAGCCACCTACAAGTTAGAGGCTGGTTCCACCCAACTGACAAGAGCAAGGCACAGACATGGAAGAACAGATACCATGCAGCAAGGTGGCATGTTTGATAGACTTGCTGGTCCTATGGTCAGGAAGACCTGTGTTCAGATACGGCCTCTGATATGAACTGGCTGTGTAGTCTTGGTCAAGTCACTTCACTGTCATTTGCCTCAGTTTCCTCAACTGTAAAATGGGGAGAACAATAGCTCCTACCTCTCAATGTTGTGAGGATGAAATGAGACATTTGTAAAGTATATAGCACAGTGCCTGGTACATAGTATGGGCTATGTAAATGCTAGCTGTTACTATTATTATTAATCTTTTGATATCTATACAATGTCAAGAGAGCCAGAGGGAGGTCCCTATCAAGTGGACATCTCATGCAAGATTTAGAAGAAGATCTGGACGACAGCCCCACAGACATGATGGGAAGTAATGGGTGATACAATCTGCATCAAAGTATATGGAAGGGATTGTTCTAGGCCTGGGGCTGCAAAGATGAAAAGGATATAGCTCCTTCTTTCAACGATCTTCTAGTCTAGTAGAGAAGATGACGCCACAGATAATAATTCATGAAATTATAACTCGATTGAGCGTATAATGGAGGTCAAAGAAAGTGCACCTCTTTAAGATTCATGGAAAGAAGGTAAGTTCTTGCTGGAGGATGGGGAAAGGTGAACCCTGTGGGGTACAGAAAGGCCCTACCCCCTAAAATCAGAGCAGCCAAGTAAAGGTCCAAATGTCATAGCATATACAGTGAAAAATCTCAAGGCTGGTTGTAGCAAAGGCAGCCCTTTCCTCTGGATTCTAAATCTAAATTTGAAAACACTCCTTTTAGCAACTCCCAACCCCTGAAACCCATTATTTCTCTTAAGCTCAACTTCTTGGGGAAGGTGCTGAATTTGTAGCATCGTTGGACTCATGCCCAGGCCTGACCCACAGTCACAAAACCAACTATTGTCCCCTATTGGGGGGAAGCTTTATTATTCAAATGGTGAAAAGGGGTACCCATATCTTCCCTATTCCATGACCACCTCAGTAAACTTTGCATCCTGTGAGCACAGGCATATGCAACATTAGATTCAGTAGCATAAAATAAAACAAACAAACAAAACACCATGATTATTAAAGAGAAATACCAATACCTACTTTTATGTTAAGTCTTAAATACCACAGTAAATTCAAAAACTTGAAATAGAAAGGCATTCCAAGGAAACTGAAGCATGATTTTTTTAAACAACTCAATATTATCTGTAGCTTTATTCTTTAAATTTAAGTGAGGCAGCAGCCCTGAACCAAAACAGAAAATGTGTTATGATGAACTCAAAACTGGATTTGAGCTCTCTGACAAATCGATTTCCAGGTTTATTTTCTTTTTTGTTTACATAATACAGTTTTTTGCCTCTCCAGTTCATTGTCACTGAATTCCAGATTCTGAACAAGCTCCTTGATTCAGTGTCTTCTAAATAGCTCTTTGGATTTCCCTTCAGAGACCAACAAAGTGCTTGCAATTTGTAGTCTAAAGCAGTAATCTCCAAGGAGGGGGATGTATATCCCTTGTGGCCTTGCAGGTGATGATCCAGCAGAGTGTGTGAAGAGAATATTGAACTGAGGAGAGCAGCACAATTGTTCTCCACCTGCCTCTGCCATTCTCATTCCCCTACATGTGCTCCAGGGAGGGCTACAATGGGCTAATAGCTATATGAGCTCTTCTGTAAATACACTTGGCCCCAGTCCAAAACTGGGTGACTGCAGTCAAGTAATATGATCATAGCTTTAGAGCTATGAATTTTAGAAGCCATCATGTCCAACTCCATCTTTTTTACAGATGAGGGAACTGAGGCACAGAAAGGTTAAAAGAATTGCCCAGCCTCATATAAGTAGTAACTATCTAAGACAAGGTTTGAACCCTGGTCTTTCTGATTCCAAATTCAGACTCCTATTCACTACACTATATTGCCTTTCAAGGTTTGAATCTCAGTTCTTCTCACCTGGAAAATGGCAACAGTTCTTGTAGTTCCTACTTCAAAAATTTGTGAAGCTCAAATGTGGTTTTGTATTTAGTTCTTTAAAGCACTATGTAAATATCAGTTATCATGTTGTTCACTAGCTCATGATGCTAGTGAACACAAAAACATCATCAGAAATGCCAAAAAATATTGCAAATTATAATAATGTAATGTGGTTGTTGTTGAGTTGTTTTTGGTCATGTCTGACTTTGTGACCCCATTTGAGGTTTTCTTGGCAAAGATACTAGAGTAGTTTGCCATTTCTTTTTCCAGCACATTTTACAGATGAGGAAACTGAGACAAACAGGGTTAAGTGACTTGCACAAGGTCACACAGCTAAGATGTGTCTAAGGGCAGATTTGAACTCAGGAAGATGAGTCTTGCTGATTCCAGGACTGGCATTCTGTCCATTGTGCCACCTAGCTGCCTTACAAACGATAATTCTAACCTCAAAAAGCTCAGTTGGTACTATATTGTCAATGAATATACTTAGGGTCAGCTAAAATAGCAATTAGACCACATAGTAGCTAAATTTTTTTTAATTTCAGAGATATCACAAAGAAGCACTGCTCAGAGTGACATCTTTTCAAATCTCTTTCCTATAGAAGTATCTGAAATACCTTTAACATTAAACAAACAAACAATTTCTCATTGAATAATCTTTAAAAAATTCTAAGAAAAGCAAATGTCCCTGGAAGGGCATTTCATTCCATACTAAGGTAAAAATGACTGATATATCTTTTTCTGCCAGTTAAGTAGCTTTTGATAGGTGAGGGCACCAGGACTAGAAGAAGAAAGGATAATGTTGCAGGACACACAAGAGACAAAAAAAAGGGGGGGGGAGGCATCATGACAGAACTGTATCTACTTCACAAGTTTGCCCAGGGTCTAACCTAAAAGCATCATCTAATTTTTACGATATTTTAGTGGATTCATGTAATAGAATCTGACCTCAAAAATCAAATTGTTCAAAATACAGGATGGGTCACAATGATTTGTTTTACTTGTCTTAACTACTATAAAAGAAGGCTAAAAAAATCACATTCCAAATCATTAATCCCAGGTGTTTGCAATCCTTATCCAAGAGTTCAATATCATTTATTTCATAGATACATTATTAGTGGAGCTATTAAGTGGTCCAACCAATTCTGGAGAACAATTTGGAACTAAGCCCAAAGGGCTATAAAAACTGTATATCCTTTGATCCAGCAATACTACTGCTAGCTCTATACAAAGGGAACAAAGAAAAAAGTAAAAGGATGCATATCTATAAAAATTTTATAGTGGTTCTACTTGTGGTGACAAAGAATTGGAAACTGAGAGGATGCCCATCAATTGGGGAAATAGATGAACAAGTTTTGGTACATGATTGGTTATGAAATATTATGGTGCTGTAACAAATGGTGGAGGTGGGTTTGGAAAAACCTAGGAAGACATAAATTTGATGCAAAGTGAAGTGGACAAAGCTAGGGGAACATTGTACTCAGCAACAGCAATATTGTAATAATCATCAGTTGTGAAATACTTAGCTACTCTAATCGATACAATTTGTTGTTGTTTAGTCATTCAGTTGTGTCCAACTCTTTGTGAGCCCATTTGGGGTTTTCTTGGCAAAGATACTAGAGTGGTTTGCCATTTCCTTCTCTAGCTCATTTTATAGATGGGGAAATCGAGGCAAAAAGAATTAAGTGACTTGCCCAGGGTCATACAGCTAGGATGTGTCTGAGGCCAGATTTGAACTCAGGTCTTCATCACTCCAGGCCAAGTGCTCAATCTACTGAACCACTTAGCTGCCACTTCACTGCTCTCAATCAATACAGTGGCTTGTGACAATTCCAAAGGACTCGGGAAAAATGTTATCCAACTCCAGAGAAAGAAGAGATGAGCTTTGAGTGCAGATTGAAGCATACTTTTTCACTTTATTTTTCTTGTTTTTTTTTGTAATATGCCTAATTTGGAAATATATTTTGCGTGACTTCACAAATACCATTTGTATTGTATTTTGTCCCTTCTCAATAGATGAAGGAGCAATTTAGGGAGGGAGAGAAATTGGAACTGAAAATAAAAATTGAAAAATTTAATTGAAAAAGTGATTAATTTTGTTGGCAAGACCCAGTGAGAACATAATTGGGAAAACAGTGTTACAAATAAAATAAAAACATTTCATTTTAGAAGATCTTAGAAAAAGGAATACCAATTTGATTGAAATCTATCCCATTTCATTTTATTCATGGAACATTGCTCTCCTATTGAGATGATATAAATTCAGTCCCATTTGATGCTATCTGTGTGGCCATGGGCAAGCCACTTTGATCCTTAGGTGGTACCTACAGAGGCCAAGAAATGGATAGGTACACATGCCCTTTGAAGACCTCGAGGTATCTAAGTTAAATAGACACCTACCTGTAGATTCTGAAGAGCTCCATAAGCTGTAAATAGAAACAGAAATCCAATAGCTATGATGACAACATTCTTTAAGTTGCTATCCATTTTGTTTGTTGAAAACCATCAACCAAAAGCTGAGGGTATAAATCTGCAGTTCCTGAGCTTCAGTGGAAAAAAGGAGTCTAGGCTTTCAAGTGGCAGTCTCTCTTCTTCATCTAAAAGAGAAAGAACTCCTGTTAGCCATCAGGGTTAGTTAATAAACTTTCTTATGATGAACACATAATGCTCCCATAAAGCACTGTTAATTATTCACTTTCTCTAGAACACCAATAGGAATTTTCCCAACAAGACATAACTTTTGACAAATGGTGTTTTTTTTTCTTTCTTTCTGAGTAGACAAGGGTCCACAATCGAACAGTGACTTTCATATTGTGACTATGGTGAAGTGGCATCATTGTAATGGACAGAAATTGGTGTGGTGGCACAAAAAATGAATACTATTTCACCCCAAATAACAAAGAATAAATACTAATTTTTGCTCCTGAAAAGAGCCAATGTGATTGTTAGGCAGTGGTGGTCAAAGATTTCTTTATTAGGAAACACAGATGATTAATATGGAAATGTTTTACATGATTATACATGTATAACCTGTATCTGACTGCTTGCTATGTCAGGGAGTGGGGGGAGAGGAAGGGAGGGAAGGAAGAATAGAATTTGGAACTCAAAACTTAAAAAAAGTGTTAAAAATTGTTTAACATATAATGAGGGGACATAAAATAAATATATAAAAGATTGTGATTTCTGCCATGTAAATCTAAATGTACAAATGTAATTTTCAAATGTAAAATTCTAAGTTCATTTTTAAAAGCTAATTTATGCAATGTAAAAATAGGTTTGGATTTGCATGGCAACACTTATGAGCTATGGAAAATGTAACCAATGTGTATAGCAAAGTTCTCCTGTGTCCCCTCTTCCCTTCATAGCCCCATACAAGGTGAGAAGGTAGGAAGGTAATCATGTAGCTTGGAGGAAAACACGTAAGTACCTTTTTTCATTCTAACAATCTAGGATGCTACTCAATAAACCCTGAGGTAAAAAGCTGTAGGTCCCCTAGGGTAACAGATGCAGGAGACATGGTGGAATACAGGATTACAGAGTTTGGAGCTTGGAAGGACCTCAGAGATCTACTCCCCTCTCCCCATCACCTTATATGGATTGGAAACCTGGGGCCAGCATGACATGATTTAACAAATGTCGCACAGGTACTAAATGGTAGAGTCATGATTTGATCTGAGATCTTAGGACTCAAGATGTAGGCCTTTTTCATACTGTTCTTATCTAATCTGCATCTGGGAATATTAGGTCAAAAGCCAGGGAGATTTTATAAAGGAAAAAGTCAGGAAAACACTAGAGAGAGAAAAGTAAAGCCCAGGTGTCATTCTCTTAAAGTGGTGAGATGCTAGCTACAAGCCTTCCCCAGTCAGCAGAAGGTAATGAATCTATGGACTTGGGACACAATTCTTTTTTGTTCCGTGATGTCACTTGTTTCATAATAAACTTGGTATCTGCTCTGTCATCCAGAAGAGTGTTTTATACACAATTAATGCTTCTTAAATGTTGTTACTCAAAAGATGAATCAATAAGCATCTATCAGTCACCAACTACATGGCAGGCACTGTGCTGTGCACTAGGGATACAAATATAAAGATGACAGAGTTTCTGCCCTCAAGGAGCTTACATTCTACCATCTTATAGTTAGAGCTGGAAGGACCTGAAATGACATCCTTCCAAACCCTTCATTTCATAGACAAAGAGAATGAGACTATTGGATCTGGTGCTCTAGATGCTGCTCCAACTAGAACCTCTTTAGGTTCAATGAATCAAGATGGTTTGTTTTCTGATTGAAAAGAGGGACTATTTGACTTATAGTTTTTAATTGGTAGTGATTTGTCCATATTCTTCTATACCAAGACAGGTGCCTGCTTGTGTTTATGTTTTTCTAGCAGATGGCGATGCCCCCACTGATAGCCAAAACCTTGGAAAAGGCCCAGAGAAGGTGAGTGCAGCATCCCCCAGCTTATTGAGAACTCCTCATTCCCTAATGCATTCATATTTCACCCAGGGCTAGAAATAGGAGAGTTTGTTTCTTTGTTTCTCTTCAGTGGCAGAGCTGGTTTCCTGTTTACTTGTCGCTCTTTCAGTCAGAAAATATGCTTGATTCAATAGTAGGGATGAAACACTTTGCATTCTGCTTTGTAGATGGGCTAATGAACAATTACCTTTGTATGGAGACACTGATGCTGTAAGACTTGGTATATCTAGATTAATCGTTTGTCAAACTTTTTATAAACCTCCTGGTTCTTAACCATGGCTCTATAAACTTTATAAAAATATTTTATTACCTTGTTTTAATATAAAAATTTCTTTTGCAATCTTAGGTATTTTATTTTATGCATTAAAAACATTATTCGAAGAAGGGGTCTTTAGGCATCACCACACTATGGAAGTGGGTCCATAAAAATAATGGTTAAGGAACCCTTGTTCTAAACCAGAGGTAGAAAACAAAACCTTTCATTTTGTTCTGTGAAGTTTGGATTCAATCAAAGGGCCCCACTTGAGGACCTAGAAGACCACATGTGGCCTAGAGGCTGCAGGTTCCCCACCCCTATTTATTGAAGACCTCATTCAGACTTGATTTGAACTTGCTTCTTTGGAGTACATGTTGTTATCTTTTCTCTCTGTTGATATTAACTTATTTTACTATTTCTTTAGCTTCCAGTTATCCAGGAGACCCTGATGTGGTATTTAACATTTATTTGTTGATGAGAAAAGTTAAAAAACACAAGAAAATTCGGCCCTCAACTATATCTGGAAGATTACTAATAGCAAGATTATCTTCTAGCTTTCCACTAAAGGTAAGCCCCTTGAGGGAAGGGATTGTTTTTTGTTGCTCTGTTTGGCATCTCCAGCATTGTACCTAGAAAACAGCAGACAGTTAAAAATTCATAGGATCACAGATTTGGAGCTGGAAGGAATCTTAGAAGCCATCTGGTCTAATTCCTGCATATTTTATAGGTGCCCAAAGGGTCACAGCAGTGGCAGGGCTGCTATTCAAACTAAGGACCCCAGATTCTCAGTCCAATGCTTTTCCCATTGTATCAGACTTTTTTCCTGTTTAATTGAACTGATCATTTCATAACTATTAGTTGTAATTCTTTAAAGCTTTCCTCTCACTCTAGTCACACCAGAAAAGCAGGCTGGGAGTGACCCAGATTCAGATCATGCCCAGCACTCTCAGGCAGTTGAAGTAGGTTTACAGCTCTGGCTATCCTCTAGCCACAGGAAGATTAGGCATGAAGACTGATGTCCCGCATACTATGGGCCTTGCCCAGCAACAAGACCCCTTGTGCAGTCTCAAGACTGAAAGCATTACTCTTCATCTCCTATTATTACCCCCTGTCTAACAATCTCCCACTACCACCTGTTCCTCTCCCTCTATTACTCAAATACTGACCACATATGAGCAAATTATCCCCAACTCCCGTTCCCCTATTCTCACACTCCTACACCTTTCTCCACCCACATTTCACATCATTCCTGCCCACCTCCTTTTCCATTGTACTTTTTGCAATCGCTTCTCCATAGCAAACAGAGGTCTGTATTGTGGACTTTTTCCTTTCATTCTCCATTAGGTATCAGTAACGGGCTTCCCCCAATGACACTGAGTCTTTTGTTTTCCTCTCTAGCACTGGCTACAGAAGACTTCATTCCCACTCCTCCCCACCCCTACCCCGCACCACACTGTTTCTGGAAGGGAGTAAGGATAAGCCTTGCTTTCTATTACCATTTCCTTGCTAACATTATATAATTTTTCTTTCTCTGAAGTTCACTTCAATAAAAAAATTTCCACCTAATCTAAGTCATGGTGGCTGTTGTGTAGGAAACTCCAGGTCATTATCCCTCCTTTCTGAAGGAGTTCAGCACCTGGCTCACCATATTTGCCTCTTTCCTAATCCCTAACCTTATACTAGAGGACTTCAACACCCGTAATGATGCCACTTCAAACTCTCCTGCCTCAAAATTTCTCAGCTTCCTACAATTTTGTAAGGTACTCCATCATCCCATTTTAGTCACAGAAAGAAATGGGCTAACAGTAGATCTCACCATTATCCACAATTTTCTATTTCTGTAATTAAAACTCTAACATTCCTTGATACTACCATAGCCTCATTATTCTAACTCTCCTCGCCTAATCACTCCTAAACCAATTCTTCAACCTTTTTGGGTCCACTAATTTTTCTACCCTTCAGGATTTTCTCAGGCCATTAATAATTCCTGCTCTGACTTAATTTTCTTCCCTTACCAATCTGAATCCTATGGTTAGTCAATTAACTCCCTTAGGTCCTTGTCCTGTTGCTGCACATCCCTTGCCAAACCTCAGTCCAGTATTACTTCTACCACTTGCTTTCCTACTCATTTGTCATTGAATGGAACTAGAAGTCATGCAACTGTGCTAACTGCATACACTCCAAATTAATTTAATCTCACTTGACCTGAGCCCTCTTGAGAAAAGCAGGTTTTTCATACTTTTCTAATTGACACCCTCTTTCTCCATAGAAGCTACTCCAGCCCTTTTTCTCTTTCCTCAGGTCTCCTGTAACCTCCCCACCCCCTTTATTTCCTCCCTCTCGGCTGAGGATCCTGTATCTTATTTTACTGAGAAAATTGAGACCATTTAACAGAAGCTCCCTCTTCTCTCCTCTTCATCTCATAAATCCTTAACATCTTTACTTACTTTCTTCTCCTTCTCCATAGTCTTTAACAATGTAGTGTTTGCCAAGGTCAAACCCCCTACAAATGCCCTCATCCCCATTTACTCACATTTCTTCCTGCAGATTGTAACCTCAATAATCCCCCTTCTCTATAATCTTCAACCTCTCCTTATCTACTAGTTCCTCCTCTACTGCCTCCAAATATGCCCAAGTCATCCCTATCCTTGAAAAACCCTTACTAGACTGTATTATCCTCTCAAGCTCTTATCCTACATCTCTCTTCTCTTTCTCAGCCAAATTCCTAGAAAACGTTGTCTATGATATTTTCCTCTATTTTTTCTCTGCTCATGCACTATTCAACCCTTTACAATATAGCTTCCCACATCACTATTCAACTGAAACTGCTCACTCCAAACTTATCAACAACCCAGTCTTTCTCAGTC